ATGTCACTTCAACCAAGGCACATCTGTGTTTTTTACATACATCAGATTACCCTGACAACATGATTTAGCTATGGTTTAGAAAGAAAGTGGGTTCTACATATCTCAGGTGAGGAAAGGGGGTGTCAAACAAACTTCAGACTTGCTTCTACTGCACATTGATCATACAACTCTGTGCTGGCACAGGCTGACTTATCTACCACTCACACACATATAAGTGCTACCTGAATAATAACTAGGTACAGACCTCTTTAACTTTATGTTTGTCAAGCTCATCAAAAAGTATCTGAAACTGAGCAGCTGATAACCCTCCAGGAGGATACGACTCAAGTTTCTGTGTAAAGAACAGATATGTGGAGTTAATGCAAACATTTCATGTATCAGTCAAGACAATACAGCTAAAGGCAACATCTATGTATGATTCCTACCCCAATGATCGTTTCTTTGCAACAGGGGTCCATTTTTACTTTTTGGAGTACTTGAACTAAGGTTTCAGACTGGACACGCAAGCTATGTAAACAAAAGCAGAATACATGAGTAAGAACTGTTTGCCTTCTGCTATTCTTCCTTCACCACAATTATGTGACATACAGAATAGTGATAGAACAAGAGCTATTTAAGGTGTCTTCTACTTACATATTTTTATTCATAGATGTCTCTTTCATATAGCAAAGAACTTCAAATGCAGCTCGAATCCCTAAGCGTCTCCGGAAAAGTGAGGACTGAACAGATTTCTGAAGACAAAGAAAAAACATCCATGAAAAAGACATACTGTAGTACAAAGGCTCCCCATATAAAAAACAGAACCATAAAGAATATTTTATACTGGAGTGTGCAGTAAGAAATGTTCATCATAGGCATCCTTCAAAGCCACACTTGGAGATTCTATTATGAAAAGACATTCATAGCCACTTATTTGTTGCTGACAAATGCCACACTTTGGACCCATGACACAAAAAAGCATAGGTAGTGTCCTTAGCCATGCTGACAGAAAGCCTTGATTCTCCCATTGCAGACAAATAGACAGCTATTCCAAAGCCAGGTGTTAGAGGCACTTCTGATTTCTAAACAAAGATTACTGTACTTTAATAATCAGTACTCCTGGGACACTTGCTCTCAGCCATCACTCTCAGCAAGGGTTATGATCAACACCTTCCACAACAAGTATACTTGCCTTCGAGAATACACTGCTATGAGAGATTATCCAGACCTTAGACAACTAACAACAGCATATTGATAAATCTGGCTCCACTAATCTCCAAAGCTCTAGATCACTGGTTCTTAACCTTG